CTCCCTGAAGACGTCAGGCCTCACTCTCAACTCCATCAAGGTGCACATAACCACTAGCAGTGCCTTTCATTCTCCTGCGGAGGGGCACTCTTTACTCACCCTTGACTACCAGGTTTTGGAAGGACCTCCGATGGACTTATCCTCCCCTTCAATCCATTGCTCCCCCAATGGGACCTCAACCTTCTCCTCACGGTGTTGACGAAATTTCCCTTTGAACCTCTGGCCACCTCCTCCCTGTCTCTCCTCTCCATGAAGGTCACTTTCCTGGTAGCTATTACTTCTCGGTTGGAGAACTGGGGGTCATGGTGACGGACCCCCTCCCCTTTACCGTGTTCTGTAAGGACAGTGTTTTCCTGTGCTTGCACCCCAAGTTTCTGCCAAAGGTTGTATCCCATTTTCATCTCAACCAATCCATACACTTACCTGCTTTCTTTCTGAAACCTCACGCCTCAGTAGAGGACTGGCGCCGTCACTCCCTCGATGTCTGCTGGGCCCTGGCTTTCTACCTTCAGAGGATGAGATGATTCAGGAAGTCCCCTAGACATTTTATCACTATAGCAGAAAGGATTAAAGGGCAAGTGATCTCCATTCAGCTGATTTCTAAGTGGGTTTTGAGGTGCATTACACTATCAGTTATCGGGACTGTCCCCATGCCTTGGGGTACAAGCCCACTCCCAAGAGTGCAAGCATCTACTACAACTGTGCTTCACAATGTACCAGTTACGGACATATGTAGGGCGGTCACATGGAGTTCGGTACCTACCTCTCTTCCCATTACACCTTGGTGCAAGACTCTGCGATGGATACCTCACTTGGCGTGGCTGTGCTTCATTCCACGGTTTCATCATCTTCCTCGCACCCTGCTTGTTGTTAACCCTCAGTGGCATACAATAGGGACCATCACTCAAAGAAGAAGAGGTGGCAGGCTTTGTCTAAAATGTATTTTGAGTTGTGTATCTTTAGCTGGCGCAGCAAGCTCTTATTTAGCAAAATTGAAACTGAATAGGGTGTCTTTCTATGCCTGTAGAATGTTGTACATGAACTGAGGATAACCAACCAGGTGATCTATTTGAATCCACCAATTGAAGAATGCAGATATAAGCTCTATCAAGAAATGTTTTCCTGGAAAATGGTAATACTATCACTACCCAGAATTCAAAGTCAAAGATACCAGGTAAGCATAAGAAATTTATTTATAAATCTAATAAAATGGCTCTAACTAGAACTGTTGCATTGCAGTTGTACAGTATACAGATAATGTAATCTTTAATGGTTATGAAGGCCAGTTTTCATTTTCAAAAATTGCTCATTGTGTTCTGAACTTGGTATATGCAACTTGTATTTAATTGCGGGTCTTGTCAGGTGGGTGTACACTATGAGTTGTCTGAAGAAGAGAAGTTCTATCGGAATGCCTTAACACGGATGCCTGATGGTCCTGTAGCACTGGAGGAGTCTTATTCGGCAGTTATGGGCATTGTGACAGAGGTTGAACAGTACGTTAAGGTAGGATATGAGTTCTGATTTTCAGTTTGAAATTGTAGAATAACGCATTTGATGGGCGTTACCTTTGATTAAAGATATAGAAGAGCTCTTCTAAATCCAACAATGTTACCTATTTACTGTAATCCCCATTAATTCAGTTACATAAATAAGGAAAGTATCTACATTCTGAAAATTGACTGTTACATGGAATTTTTTTAACGTACTTATTAATAGGTATGGCTGCAGTACCAGTGCTTATGGGATATGCAAGCTGAAAACATATATAACCGTCTTGGAGAAGATTTAAATAAGTGGCAAGCCCTCTTAGTTCAGATAAGGAAGGCTAGAGGAACCTTTGACAATGCAGAAACCAGGAAGGAATTTGGACCTGTTATCATAGACTATGGGAAGGTAAGAACCTGAAACTTTCATGCATCTTGTAAAAGTAACATGGAGAAATAAACTTCAAAATGGGCTTATAGACATTAAAATGAGACTTCATAATGAATTGTAATACTCAGTAAACTTTCTTGATTGTAGGTACAATCTAAGGTGAACTTGAAATATGACTCTTGGCATAAGGAAGTACTCAGTAAATTTGGCCAAATGCTAGGTCAGAACATGACAGAGTTCCACTCTCAAATTTCTAAGGTAAGAATAGTCCAAACAATGATTCCTTATTACAATATCAACTTGCTACATCCACCTTTAAAATACTGTTGTTTTTTTTTCCCCTCCCTCTAACAGTCCCGTCAAGAGTTGGAGCAGCATTCAGTGGACACTGCTAGCACATCAGATGCAGTGACATTCATCACATATGTACAATCCCTGAAACGTAAAATCAAGCAGTTTGAGAAACAAGTTGAGGTAAGTTGTCACTTTCTTACTAACATCTTGTTTCTGGAAATCTTTAAAAGCTTTTTTACAGCGAGGGGACAATTGATCATGACCAGTCTAAGCCTGCTAAGAGAAACCCTGCCTCTAATTTCCTGTCCTAGTAACTCTTCTAGATAAACACTTTCAAACCAAGATTCTATAGTGAGCCTTACTGAGTTACTTTATGCTTCTGAGGGTTCTTTAGGCTGATCTATTGCTGATTTCTCTTTTAAACTTCTGGCTATCTGAATTTCTAATTGAACTTCTAGCTAACAGAGAAATTAAAGTAGTTTACCTTCTAACAATGTTTGTGTGGACTGTAGCTTTACCGCAATGGTCAGCGCTTGCTAGAGAAACAGAGGTTCCAGTTCCCTTCCTCCTGGTTATACATTGACAACATTGAAGGAGAGTGGGGTGCTTTCAATGACATAATGCGTCGCAAGGATTCTGCCATTCAGCAACAAGTAGCAAACTTGCAAATGAAGATCGTTCAAGAGGATCGAGCAGTGGAGAGCCGTACAACTGACCTGCTGACTGACTGGGAGAAAACTAAGCCTGTGACAGTGAGTTTTTTCGTGTCTCTTTGCTGAACTCACTATAGAAAGTTAGCATTCTGTAACAAAGAGGTTGTTCAGTAACCCTGAAATAGACTGGAGGGGTCGGGGGGCATAGATGTTATCTTTAGATTTTGTTGCAGATATGTGAATCCTCTCTACGGGGTTTCCTAGTGACTTGGCAGAAATTGTACATTGTCTTTTGCTCTTAGTTTAAAACTCCAACACTTTCCCTGACTTAACTTGCAGTTTAAAACAGAAACGCCTCTATTGTAACTTGATTTTTACAAATTTAACTAGCAATAAGGAGTGTGCACTCTATATAGAGCATTTGGTGAGAAGAAGAATCTTGTTGAACCTGTGTCCTAAAGTAAATGTTACTAGCTAGCGTCTGCTAAAAAATCTCTTCTGCCAAGATGATTCTTTAGATGCTTACCCAGGCAAGGGATCTGTAACTCATATACCCATAGTTAAAGGTCTGCCAGGGAAACTGAAAATTCCTTAAAGCAGAAGAGATCGCATGGTGTCTGATGCTAATCAGAAGTAGTTTCTGCACAGATTTTAAGTGCTAAACCCTTACTCTTAACCTCTGTGCCATGTTGTCCTTCATATGGTTCTTTCTAGGGGAACTTGCGTCCAGAGGAGGCTCTTCAAGCACTTACCATTTACGAAGGAAAATTTGGTAGGTTGAAAGATGATCGTGAGAAATGTGCAAAGGCCAAAGAAGCTCTTGAGCTAACAGATACAGGACTACTCAGTGGCAGTGAAGAACGTGTGCAGGTACAAACTGTTTTT